GGGGTCTTTTCCAACTCTACAATTCTATGATTCTAAGATTTTATGGTGCACCGCGGCCCAGCACTAGTTCCAGCACAGAAGGTTGCTTTGCCTGACCTGGAAACAGAAGCAAAAAAGCAGCAGAACAGAGAGGGAAAGGGCTTATTGAGCCAATTCGCATCAGACCCTACTGGTCCTTCCTCAGGAATTTCAGATAACAGGAATTCGAAATCTGGATGTGCTAGCTCTTCTGTCTCCTCTGGGTAAGAGATAGAAGGGCCAGCACATACCCTCCAACATTTCTCTGATGGAAATAGGGACGTCCTAAGGAAAAGTGGGACGTTCCAGGATCAAATAAAAAACTGGGACGGCTTCTGTAAATCCAGGACCGTCCCTGGAAAACAGGGTCTCTAGAAGCACATCTAGGGACTTTGAATTACTGTTCTCTCAATTTCCCTGAGGAAATTGAATATGGAACCCTTTGGATCAGGATCAATACCACACCACCACCACAGTTTACCACATTAGGCGTTTTGTTCGTTTGTTTTGTGTTTTAGTTAGTTTGCTCCCGTTTTCTTTTTGCAGGTTCCCTGACCTGGTCTATGTGCTGGGCTTTCCCTGACCTGGTCTGTGAGCTAATTACATGGCTGAGCCAGACCCCACACTGTTGAGAACTGCAGAGCCTCTCGTTTGTGTCGTTTGCTATCTTCCCACTTGGATCATGCTTTTTCCCAGCCTCTTAATCCACCTCCCAGCCCAACCCCCAAACAGCAAACCTGTCAAGTGCAGCCAGACTTTTATCTAGACACTTCAGATGTGTGGCCCCCTCCTCAACTCCCCACCCCCTTTCCCTTCCTTCCTTTTACTTCAGGGGGCCAAGTTCAATATGGTGTTTTCCTCTATGAAACAGTATCGGTGGAGGAAGCCCTATTCAAAGTCTTCAAGGCAGGCAGCTGTGTTTGTTTTTGCTGCAACAGACGGAGCGGCAGAGCAACTTCAATGGGGCTTACTCCTAAGTAAGTGTGCATAGGATTACAGCCAAAGGGCCCCTTTAAATATCCTTCTTATTAGGCAGCCAGGATTTTTTGTGCTCAAGATGCTACAGGAATGGTCACATGCAATTCACTTTTAATACTGTTTGCATCTGCAAACGTTTTTTGGGGGGAGTTATACTGCTTCGCTTCCAAATCAGGGCATATTGCATAAGAAATCTGGTAACTTTTATGCCACAAATGTTCTAGTTTCTTTACAGTGGTACCTCCTGTTGCGCAGGGGATCCATTCCAGAGCTCCAGACGGATCCCGAGGTGTGCTTATCCGGAGGTGTCGCTTCTGCGTATGCACGTGGTGCGGTTTAGTGCTTCTGCGCATGCGTGTGGCACATACAGCACTTCTGCGCATGCGTGTGAAGCAAAACCCAGAAGAATATTTCCGGGTTTGCCGCGTACGTATCCCAAAGGATACGTAACCGGAGGTGAATGTAAGTAGAGGGACCACTGTATTTTGTTTTGCTTTTGTTCCGCTATTGCCCCTCCAGAGGGCAATAATATGGAAGCATTGAGGAAGCACTGCAGAACACACGAAAGCAGAATAAATCTACCGCCAATGCACTGTTGCAGAATACACGGTTGGGGAAAGCCCAATTTTGTGATGTTTGTACAGAGCCCCCGGTCGTTTCACTATTGACCTGTACACCACTGCTTTAGTCTTCTGCTGCCACCAACCAGGTTTCTTCTGAGTCTCAGTCAGGTTGTAAAGTCAACAACGAAGATTAAAGTTTATTGAAGAGCAAGCAAGTTTTAAATATGTTCAGAATGGTTTCTCAAATGCGCGCCCTTAACTAGATGTGGCACAATCTCACACTGTCACACTCTCCTCTCTCAGTTCCATCCCTGTCTCTCACTCTAACTGTCACAACCACTATGTTTGACTTTTACTGCCTCTGTCTGCCCCTCACTCCTGTATCTAAAAGATTAAGCAGGGTTTTGTAGCAAAATGCCAGCGCTCAGAACATCACCCAGGAGATCGCAACTAGAGAGATAAGAAGAGTTGTTCCGTTGTCTTGAGATGCCACTTCCTGGTTTGCATGGAGAAGCCATTTTCAACAGAGCTCAGCAACAGAAGTATCGAGGCACTGTCAGGTGTGGCAATTTTGTGCCCCTGACCATTTTGCCACCAGGGAAACTGCCCCTGTGGGTCCCCCCATGCTAGGCCACTAAAACTCAAGAAGCTTATGAGGCTATTAGCTCAAGGAACCGTTCTTGTATTTGCTTGTTGTTGTTTAGTCGTTTAGTCGTGTCCGACTCTTCATGACCCCATGGACCAGAGCATGCCAGGCACTCCTGTCTTCCACTGCCTCCCGCAGTTTGGTCAAACTCATGCTGGTAGCTTCGTGAACACTGTCCAACCATCTCGTCCTCTGTTGTCCACTTCTCCTTGTGCCCTCCATCTTTCCCAACATCAGGGTCTTTTCCAGGGAGTCTTCTCTTCTCATGAGGTGGCCAAAGTATTGGAGCCTCAGCTTCAGGATCTGTCCTTCCAGTGAGCACTCAGGGCTGATTTCCTTAAGAATGGAGAGGTTTGATCTTCTTGCAGTCCATGGGACTCTCAGGAGTCTCCTCCAGCACCATAATTCAAAAGCATCAATTCTGTGGCGATCAGCCTTCTTTATGGTTCAGCTCTCACTTCCATACATCACTACTGGGAAAACCATAACTTTTACTAAACGGACCTTTGTTGGCAAGGTGATGTCTCTGCTTTTTAAGCAGAGCTGTATTTGCTAGGTTGCATTTATATGTTGACCTGTTCCATTTTATACTTGACATCTCTGGGCTCGATCAGGTGATGCTTCTGCACGCCCCTCAACACGGCTGTTGTTGGCATTTGTCTGTCTCGAGAGAGAATGGAGTGCGCCTCCGGGGGTAAACCACCGTGTTGGCAACACGGAAGTGACCTTCCCGGGGCAGAAGTGTGTCTGGAGGTGCTGGGCTGCTCAGACGACAAGACCCCCCACCCTCAGCCTCGCTGATTTGGTCCAAAGGAAAGCAGAGCAATACGTTCTGTGGGTAGCAATTCCACAGCATGGAAATTAGCATAAACTAACTGCTAATACATGAAAGGTGCAAGAACAGGGACCAGTAAAAAAATAACAAAAAAACAGCCAGCAAAACTGGTAACCCTAGTACCAGGGCTTTGTTCAGCATCTCTCAGGTGGGTGCCATTGCCATTATAAGAGAACAAGCATTCCTTTTTCTAGCAAAATAACGCTGCTTAGCACTATGCGTAAGGTTCAAGTCATCAGCTACTATGGTGTAGAAGAGTTGAATCTGGACTTTAGCAACTTGGATTCAAATCTCTGAAACCTGCCCAGCCATAAACCTGTTTGGATTGCCTTGGGCAGGGATGTTGGGAAGATGGAATTTTTTTGGGGGGGGGGAGGATACTGCCCTGAGCTCTTTAGAAAAACAGCTTCTTTCCTTGCTTTTTGTGCTTAAGTTTCGGCACTCAAGAGACAGAGAGTGCAGAGAGCCCCTGTCCAAACCTTAGCAAACCTGGGAGGCTGGAAACAAGCCTGATTTTCAGCAGATCTTGGTTTGTTGGAATTAGAAATACAGATCAAAGGAAACGCACTTACCTTGGGACCAGTCATCAGGAAATTATTCACTGACCTGGAAGGGAGGAAAAGGGTTCATCAATGGAGAGAAGCAGAGGGAATGCTTGGAATTCCTCTGTGCCACCCCTGCCCAGCCCTCGGAGAGTCGTCCCACTTACTGAACCAAGCACATATGCCCATTGTTGCCCAGTAGGTACTGCTGAAGGTTCGTTGGGGCTGAGAGCCTCTCCCTGTCCTGATTCATTGCCTAAAGATAGTTACGATACGATACGATATCTTTATTGTCATTGTCCCATGCAGAACAATGAAATTGAAAAACTACATAAAACTACTACAAAACTACATAAAACATTCAAAACCCCCTAAAAACTCTGAAACCCCATTTTAAAATACACTATACTATAGAGACCCCTTATGCTGCGTTTAGAACCAGAATTGCATTTGCGTAGAAACTGTTTCTCAGGCGGCTAGTCCTGGCCTTTATAACCCTATACCTTCTTCCAGAAGGCAGAAGCTGAAAGAGATCATTTCCGGGGTGCGTACTATCCTGCGCTATCTCTGCCGCTTTCTTATGGCACCTGGCAGCATAGATTTGATCTAAGGTGGGAAGAGTGCACCCAATTATTCTCTCTGCAGTATTTACAACCCTGGATAGCATTGTATTTTCCCTGGCCGTGCAGCTCCCAAACCACACACACAGACCATAAGTTAATACGCTCTTCACAGTGCAATGGTAAAATGCCATCAACAGGTCCCTTGAGAGATTGTTTTTCCGGAGGATTCTCAGAAAATATAACCTCTGCTGTGCTCTCTTCACCAGGTCTTTGCTGTTTTCTCCCCAGGTTAGGTCGTCTCTCAACTCCATTCCCAGAAATCGAAACACCGAGACCTGTTCCACGCACTTCCCCTCAATAATAAGTGGCTGAATATTCAATTTACATTTCCTAAATTCCACAATGATCTCTTTTGTTTTTGTTTTCTTTAAGTTAAGGAGTAAGTTGAATGATGGTCAAGTATTTGCACTTGGGTTGAAAAAACAGGATGGAGTTGTGGTTGGCAGTAGGCTTGTGGCTGCAAAGGTATTGTACGAAATGGAGGAAACCACACATGGACAGAGGGAAAACGCTTGCCAAAGTCTGAGGACCGATTAAGGTATTAGAAATGTATTTAACAACATGGCGTGAGACCACAGGTATTAGATATTTCTTGATATGATACCTTAAGTATGATTTTATATAGATTTGATTTGTATTCTTCCCCCGCCCCAGCCTTGCAACTGTTAGGCGTATCTTTCTATTTTGTATTTTGTATACGAAGATGGAAAAATGATGGTGATGATGATTTGATTTATACCTTGCCTTTCTGGCTGGGTTTTCCCAGCCACTCTGAGCAGTTTCCAACACATATAAAAATGTAACAAAACATCAAACATTAAATCCAGGGCTCCCTTCAGATGTCTTCTAAAACATGAAAATCTTTAGTAAAAGGCGAAAGATTTATACAATCTCAAGAGAAACCAGAGAACTTTTCATATAACTGAAATTAGAAAGCCCCTATAACAAATAAAAATGACATTTGCTGCCTGAAGACTCAAAAACTAAGTGAGAAACTAAACACGTAAGAAATCAGATAGTGGCCCAGATTTACAATTTAGTAGAGATAACGAAATAGAATATAAAATGGTCTGAAAATGTTGAAAATGCAATTTTTCCTGTTGAAATGTGGTATCAAAAACTGAGCTTTTCAAGTGAAATTTCAGCAGTTCCACCTATGTAGAAAGATTTACCAAAACTTAAGAGGTGATAGTATCATTTTACCCCAGCAAGACCTCCTTTTCAAGCCTTCCTTGACTGCATAGGAGAAAGGGAAACAGCCCCCCAAGACCCACTGTGGATGGGACAAGAAGGAAGAGAAATGTATATCTGGAAAATGTCTCCCCCCCCCCAGAAGATCTGGGCAATTACTGCAGTTGCATTTAGCTTAATAGGTGCGTCTGTTGATATGGAAACAGACCTTCATCCAGCGCAGATATGGGCAAGGCAATGCTATCCCTAAATGCAAGTTTATAATGAATTTATAAAGCTTTGTATCTCTCCGCCATAAAACTGAAATAATTTCACGTGGGATATGCAAAGAATAGACCGCAAGAACCAACTGTGAAACCCAAGAAGAATGCTTTTATCCCCCAAGTGATTCTCCACCCCCAATCTCTCAGGTTTCCTTGATGCTTTTCATCACCCTCCCATAATGGCCCCGTTCAGATGATCATATCTCAGCCTAATAAATTGAGGTATCCATTTTCCATGTTGTGTAGCACGCACCTTTGCCCCTCCCTACACAATATGAGCAATCAAATCAGGAAGCCTCTAAAACTTCCCATTTTCGTCCAAACTGAACAACTGGTTCCCAGTTTAGGAACCAAGCCAGGATATTAAAACCACAGTTGGTTTGAGCTCCTGGCTTGAATCTGAAACCGGGAACCAGTTTCCCAGTTTGGACAAAAGGCGAAACGATGCTTCTTGATTTGATTGCTTGTGCCGTGCAGGAAAGAGCAAAGGTTGCTGCATTCAAGTTGCATCCTTTGTCAGGAAAGACTACGATGGAAATATTTCTATTAAAGCACCTTCACATTCGTTTTTGTAGCAAACCTTTGAAGCAATCACTTCTTAGCAGACTGGCTTTATCTCCCTTCAAAGGCAAGGGCAGTCGTCAAGGAAGGAGAAAAGACAGAGCACACAAACTCAAGTTTACCGGCCAGCACACAAGGGGACAGATTAATCGCTGGCGCAAAATAAGCACCTATGTGTGGAGATGTTCCCTTTAACAATAGAAGTTGTGGTTATTTCTTTTTTAGAACCAGTTTCTATCAATTTACCACTTGCCACGGAGTGAACAGGACAGCCACAGACTCCCAATTGGGTGAACTAAGCAGACTCTAAGCTAAAGAGGCAGACCTCCCTGATCCCTTTTTCCAAGACGATGGGATTAAATACCCGAATGGCCTTGAAGCTAGGATATGAAATAGAGCCGTCAAATTTTTAAAAGTAGTTTTAGGTTTTTTTAATGCTTAAATCCTGCTTTTCGTCCATTTATTGTTTAACTAACTGTTTAACTGAATGTGTATCTTCTTCTCTGGCCTGATCCAGCAAGCCAATTATTATGTTGCAATCACTTTTTAGTGATAACAGGCAGTCGAAACATTATTTCCATTGGGCCTGAATCTTTTGGATTTTACTTCTGCTTGGCTGAGTTGCAGATCTTCTGGATTATGCTCAGAAGAGAACTATATCAGATTTTGGGGGGAAACAATAGCCGAGGAAATATTACTGGACCTCAGGAATACTTGCCGCTGACAGAGCCACAGCACATTAAATTGCAATTCGCAATCTAAAGAGGATGGTCTGTGCATATTAATAAATCGCTTTTTAAGGGCCAAGGTGTCGTCTGAAAGTAAAACCTCTAAAAGCAATGTTGGTTGCTTCCTAAAATTACCACTTCATCTCTTGAGCCAATTATTATTGCTATTAGTTGTAGTATTATGGCATACTGTTAGCTCACTCTTCAGCACAGTATATCACAGGTCAAGCACAATCCATGGGTTAGAATACACAAATTACATATAAAGCAACAAAACCAATCAAAATGAGAAATCATCATATCAAGAAGAGCAATGGGAAATGTGCCATGAAGACTGCAACAACTACAGAATGGGCTACTCATTCTCCTTTAGTAATTACTACAATATCTTACAAATGCGCATCCTATTTATGGATATATGCATAGCCATGACTGAAGGGGTCATTAACACAATCTGTTGCCTTACAATCTCACGAAACACAACTTTCCAGTTGTGCAAGCTGGGCGTACAACTTGTTCTCATGACACACACAAAAAAACCCACCGTCACAGAAATCACTTCTGGCGCGATTCGGTGCTTAGAAAACATTATTCAAGAAGCACCCTAATTTCCTTTCAACCTTATTCTCGGTGCTCCTGTAGAATTTGCTGATTTCCTTGTAAAAGGTAAAGGAGCCCTGGACGGTTAAGTCCAGTTGAAGGCGACTATGGGGTTGCAGCACTCATCTCGCTTTCAGGCCGAGGGAGCCGGCGTTTGTCCGCAGACAGCTTTCTGGGTCATGTAGCCAGCAGACTAAAACACTTCTGGCACAACAGGACACTGTGACGGCAACCAGAGCGCGTGGAAATGCCATTTGCCTTCCCGCCACAGTAGTACCTATTTATCTACTTGCACTGGCATGCTTTCGAACTACTAGACTGGCCGGAGCTGGGACAGAGCAACAGGAGCTCACCCCGTCATGAGGATTCAAACCGCTGACCTTCTGATCTGCAAGCCCAAGAGGCTCAGTGGTTTAGACCACAGCGCCACCCGCGTCCTTGTTCCCATACATCAATGGGAAAGGTACGGAAAAGCTCGTTCTTTCGCCAAAAGAGGCTGACATTTTAACTGGTGAATCGTCTCTACAGTGAAAGCTTATATAGCAGACCAGCATTTGCCCATTGATGTCTTGGTAGACCTGAGATAAAGAGGCATAGAGCCATAGATACCTCACAGATGAAGAGGACACCGTCCCAACAATATTTCCCAATTATATCTATCGCTAGCATTAGAGCTCTTTTCAGCCAGAACTCACAGGAAGTCAGTTCTCACAACTTTCAGATAGGCACCATTGTCATTATAAGAAAACAAGAGAGGTGTTCATGGTGAGTTCCAGCACCTCTTTTTCTATAAAAAATAGTACTGGCTAGCAGATATTCTGCATTGTTGGTTTTCATCCTAGCAATAAGAGTCACAGGCAGCTGAAGCTAAAATCAGGGTCAATGCATATGATTATGATTATATTTTCACCTCACCCATCTGACTGCCCCAGGCACTCAGGGCAGCTTCCAACATACTGTATATAAAAACATAATAAAACATTAAAAAAAAACCCTTCCCTATACAGGGCTGCCTTCAGGTGTCTTCTAAAGGTTGTATAGTTACTTATAGTTACTTATCTCCTTGGCTGTCTTCTGGCAGTTCCCTCCCTGCGAGAAGTGAGGTTACAGGGAACCAGGCAGAGGGCCTTCTCGGTAGTGGCGCCTGCCCTGTGGAACGCCCTCCCATCAGATGTCAAGGAAATAAACAGCTATCTGACTTTTAGAAGACATCTGAAGGCAGTTCTGTTTAGGGAAGTTTTTTAATGTTTTATGTTTTACCGTGTTTTTAATATTCTGTTGGCAGCCGCCCAGAGTGGCTGGGGAAACCCAGCCAGATGGGCGGGCTATAAATAGCAAATTATTATTATTATAACTCCATACCCTCCAATATTTCTCCATTGAAAATAGGGATGCCCTAAGGAAAAGTGGGACATTCCTGGATCAAATCAGAAACCAGGATGGCTTCTGTAAATCTGGGACGGTCTCTGGAAAATAGGGACACTTGAAGGTCCCTATTGAAGGTTGTGACGATTTACTACAAATCACCCAGAAGTTTCTGATCTAAATTATCTCCATATCTGGCCAAGCAGATGGAGACCATCAATGGAGCATCACTTACGGTAGTTGGGTTTCCATAGACTAGCCTCTCATGGTGAGTTGATTTGGTGGCTTTGATAAGGACAGGACTCCCTCATGACACCATAAGAGGTATGGCTAGGAGCTGTCAGGACCAGGTGTTCCGCAGATTATCTGCACTAATCTGTGTCACCCTGAAATTGTTGGGTTATGGCCGGGGGTCAGCAACCTTTCTCAGCCATGGGCCGGTCCACTCTCCCTCAGACCTTGTGGGGGGCTGGTCTATATTTTTTGGGGGGAAATGAACAAATTCCTATGCCCCACAAATAAACCAGAGATGCATTTTAAATAAAAGGACAGATTCTACTCATGTAAAAACACACTGATTCCCAGAGTCCGCAGGCCGGATTGAGAAGGCGATTGGGTCAGATCTGGCCCCCGGGCCTTAGTTTGCCTACCCATGTAATAAACAGCTCAGTAGCTGTGGAGTTTGGAGGCAAAAAATGAACCTGGAAGTCGAGTGCTATAGCACAGTTTGCTCTGTAATGCTGGATGCTGATGTTTGGCATTAGGCAAGTAGCAAGAGGTTCATCAAGTCCTGAACCTAATCTGAGTGATGGTCCATACACAGGGATATTCCTCCCAATGGTGTACATGACAGAGTCCAGAGAGGGGAGAACGGAGGTTTGGGAATGTGCACCTCGTATTCCCACATTTCAATCCTCTGTCTAGCAAACCTTTAAGCAGCTGGGGCTGTACCTCCTTCTCCTCTCAAGACGCTTTGGAAGGGCGATTAAATTCAGACAGAAGAAAGCACTTTCCCCTTGGGGAAGTTTTAAAGTGGTTAGGGCCCTTAAAATATATATACCAGCCTCACCATGCACAAATCCTGACCCTGGTCCCTGCATCCTTCCAGGATAACATGAGTTATTAAGAGTTTGATCTCTCTCTCTCTCTTTCTTACTCTCTCTCGCTCACAGACAAACATTTCCACCACTGGACTGTGGTTC